GTCGCTGACCTGGCTGCCCACCTGCGCACGATAAATGAGACCTGGCGAGCGGCCTGCACTGACGCACAGCTTAGAGCCCGCCAGCCGCCTATTACCTCTACCCTCTACCTGCTTGCCACCCGCCTCCCTGACCGCCTTGCCGCCGCTCTCGACCGCTTCCTTAGTATCCACCCCGGTGAGCTCACCCTCACCGACTTTGTCAACACCCTGACTGTTATTGAGACCCGCCACCGCTCCATCGCCTAGGCGAGCGGTACTGTGCCGGTCCCTAACTTTCAGGGTTGTGCCCCCGCTCAGTGTACCTTCTCTGACGGTTATGCCGCTGTGGCTGAGACTGTTGCTGCCACGCAGTACCGTCCGGGGAAGGGCCGCCGCCCCAAGGCTGGGCGCGGCGGAGGAGGCTGGGGTGCAGGTGGGGGTGGTGGTGGTGGAGTCAGGTCATCTGGTGCTGGAGCGGACGAGGGGACCCTGCCTGGTCCAGCTGCGCAGCCGCTTCCGCAGTCGCAGCAGCAGCAGCCGCCACAGTCGCAGCAGCCACAGCCGCCGCAGCAGCCACAGCAGCCGCCGCAGACGAGGCAGGCGAGTGTCCTCCCGCCCGGGTGGCCTGGCGCTGGAGGTGGTCGTGCGCGTGGTGGTGTGCCGGGTGGTGGTTCGGGAGGCGCGCGTTGCCAGTACCAGATCCAGACCTGTGAGAGTACGACCCCGTTACACCACTTGTCCCTTTTCTTATTTCCTTCCTCTCTCATTCCTCTTTTTATCTCATCTTATTTGGTTTCCTATTCTCCATTTTCCATTAACCTTTGGTTTATCCTGCTATTATAGTTATATCACCGACCAGGCTTGGGATGTACTGGTGCGCTATCTGGCGTAATCCTGCTGTAATCCCTTAAAACCAATAGCCTCGCGTGGCTATACGCAGGGCGATTCTATCTTCTAGAAGGGTCTATTCCCTTAGGATAAGATAAACCTGGTTACCTGATGTACTTTGGAAGTATAAAAACGCCTTGTACTGATCGATAGTGCAACCTTTCCTCGACACATTCGATCCTGTGACACTTGGTAATCAGAGCTTTTCTCACTCGACCGCGCTCAGCTAAGCAGCAGCAGCGGGGATCCTGCCTCGAAAAACCGCCGGGGGCGACCAATTCGACGCCGATTCTGGTAAGCACCAGCTCCGCGTTTTTTCGAATTACCCCCTCCGCGCGTGTTTTTGAACAGGATGGCGAACCTCGACAACGCCGAGGTTACCCAGCAGCTCTTCGCGCGCATCGCAGCCTTTCAGGAGGAGATGCAAGCGGACCGCGAAGCATGGCGAAACGAGTTCGAGCGAGTAACTCGACTCGCCGGAGCGCAACACGAAAGGACAACGGCGACAACGCAGCAGTCGCAGTAGTTTCTTGAGGCTCCGAAACCGCGCCCACCTGAGCCGTTTGATCCGAGCGATCGAAACTCCGACGCCTGCAGATGGATCGCCGGGATGGAGATCTACTTCGCAGCCGTCGGATGGAGCTCGCCAGTCTGGGACGGTCAACGCGTACGACTCGCGGCGACACTGATGCGAGGGCCGGCACTCGAGTGGATTGGCGGCAACAGTACCTTCATCCACGGTGAAGCCACGTGGCAGCAGTTCCGCACCGACCTGCTGAAACGATTCGAGCCGATAAATTCGAGTTTCCTTGCCCGGGAAAAAATTCATCGACACCGACAGTTCAGGAGTGTAGCGCAGTACACACAGCAGATGGATGAATTTTATAACCGCATTCCCGACCTGACCGAAGGGGAAAAAGTACAGTCGTACCTCGCCGGGCTGAAGACCGAAGTCAAACGACAGGTGGCAGCGTCAAACTACGCGAGCTACAGTGACGTCGTATCGGCCGCGGAGCGCTTCGACATGGTCAACGCCGGAACACGACGGACGCACGTCGGCAGTACGCGACAGGGCGACCGCTCGGCTCACCCCACGTTCGCCGACACGATGGAAGTCCACAGATTCGAAGGGCGGCCACGTCCGAAAAACACCAACTACACGTGTGATTTTTGCGGGGTGCCGGGTCATCGAATCTTCGACTGCAACAAAATGAAAGCCTTACGCGCAGAGTATCGGGCACGCAACAGTGGCGGAAATCCCTTCGGCCAATCAGAAGCCAAAAAACGGGACTCGCCAGTGATTGCGGATCTAGCTGGCGAAAATAAAAAGATCCGGAAGCGGCCGCGGGATTCCGAGAAAATCAACTTCAACGAAGCTGATTCGACGCGAGAAGGAGGAAATGAAATGGGAAAATCTCCACCCCACGACCAGTCTTCGCCAGGGAAAATCGCCGAGGAAAAAATACGACTCCGCGAAAAAAGACTCTGCCGAGACAGGGAAACTCCTTGAAGACCCAAGAAATTATAAGGATTCGTTAAAGTTATCTTACAAAGATGCTTTAATGAAAACTTATGATTTTCGAGGAGCTAGAGCCTTGGAGAAATTTCGAGAGGGACTCCTAAAGAAGCAGACACCTGTGGAGATTATACCAGTACCAGACAACTTGGGGACCAAATTAAGGAGTGTGGAAAGAAGCCGACCTTTCCACGAAGTCAACGACCTCTCCCGACACCAGCCCACAACGACCACCCGTTCCCCAGGGAAGACGTCGGTGGAGCTGAAGCAGCTCAAGAGGAAGCTGGGGGTCTACAAGAAGCTGCACAAACCCCGAATTCCTTCTCCTACGGATGCATCCAGTTCTTCGGCATCAATGACGCGCACAGTCGTCAATGAAACTCCGGGCCCTGGAGAAGAGCCGTTCTCCAAGTAGCCTCGGCCAGCTGCCAGCTCAGGAGTAGATAGCAACACAAAGGTGTGTACGGAATATTGGGATGTACCCTATGACCCAGTCAATGAGACTATCTTTGGGTACTCCGAGCAACGCCTGCCCCTCGTGCTCGAGGTCATCTGCAAAGGACGACGCCTCCAAGCACTCGTGGACAGCGGAGAGTCACACACCGTCTGCAACAAGGCAGTAATCGACCGACTACGGGAAGAGTACAAGCCATCAGGATTCTTTGCAACGATGGTGGACGGCAGCAAGTTACCAGTATACGGCGAAGTAGTGCTACACCTACAAATCGGGCCACTGCGCTGGAGACCTGCTCTCCCCATCACCAACATAAAAGGGCTTGACCTGATCTTCGGGCGAGACTTCTTGAAAAGATTCAACCCCGAGATCAACTGGGTGAACCGCACCGCAAGCATCTACAACAATGGACGGAGAGTACAGCTACCTAACTGGGACGATACAGGAGATATCCTAGTGGAGACACTCGCCAGATTCGAAAAGGACGTGAAGCGAACGGACACCGGGTTCCTGGCGATAGCAACAGAGGTGGAGAATGACAGAGAGAAAGCCTCGGAACCTCCAGAAAAAGTCAAGGACTTACTGAAGGAGTTCCAAGACATTCTTCCTGACGATCTTCCGAACGAGCTACCGCCATACCGAACGCATCAACACGAGATCGTGGAGGAACCGGGATCGAAGCCGACCTTCCGAGCACCATACCAGCTCAGCCCTACGGAGCTGACCGACATGAAAAAACAGATCGAGTATCTCCTAGCCAAAGGACTCATCCGGCCATCCACTTCGTCATACGGTGCCCCAGTACTCTTCACACCGAAACCGGACGGAAGCCTGCGCATGTGCATCGACTACCGAGCTCTTAACAAGCAGACCATCAAGAATAAATATCCAATACCGTGAATCGATGACCTTCTTGACCAGCTTCGGGGAGCTACGGTATTTTCCAAACTGGATCTGCGGTCCGGATACTGGCAGATACGGATGGCGGACAACTCTATCCACAAAACTGCTTTCCGAACTCGGTACGGATCGTACGAGTATTTGGTAATGCCGTTCGGACTCACCAATGCACCGGCAACGTTTCAAGCCGAAATGAACCACATTCTACGACCACTTTTGGACGAGTGCGTGGTGGTGTACCTGGACGACATCCTCATCTACTCGCGCGACATGAAGCAGCACGTCGAGCACCTACAACGCGTCTTCAAAATTCTTCGACGAGAACGGTTCTACGTCAAACTGTCCAAGAGCGAATTCGCCCTTGAGAAGGTCCAGTTCCTAGGACACCTGGTGAGCTCTCAAGGAGTTCACGTCGACCCCAAGAAAATCGAAGCCGTACGTACGTGGAAGACACCCGAGAACGTGAAGGAGTTGCAGCAGTTCCTAGGCTTCGCTAATTATTACAACAGGTTCGTGCCACAGTATGCGAAACTCGCAGCACCCCTCACGAATCTGCTGAAGAAGAACACGCCCTATAAATGGGAACCAAAGCACCAGGAAGCCGTGGAGCAGCTGAAACAAGCACTCACGACCGCACCGGTACTCATCTTGCCAGATCCCGAACGCGACTACGTAATCGAAGCTGACGCCAGCGACCAGGCAGTGGGAGCAGTCTTAATGCAAGACCAGGGGAATGGACTGCAACCAATCGCCTACCTCAGCAAGAAACTACATGGAGCAGAACTAAACTACCCGATACACGACAAAGAGGCCCTTGCCATCGTCATCGCCTTCAAAGCGTGGAGATGTTATCTCGAAGGACGAAGAACAACCGTCTACAGTGACCACTGCAGCCTGAAATACTTGAAGACACAACCCAACCTTTCCAGGCGGCAGGTCCGGTAGATCGACTTCCTCGAGACACACTTCCACTACGACATCGTGTACAAGCCCGGCCACAAAAACAAAGCAGACGCTCTTAGCCGGCCTGCACACGTTGCCGCCATTCAGATTGAAGGGATGAATCCACTACTCAAGGGACTCTTCACACACGGGTACACCATCGACCCCGAAACCCCCTTGGTGGAAAAGCGGCATTTGCTACAGTGGGACAATGACATTTTGACCGGAAAGGATCAACGAAAATTTGGATCCCCAATTACCCTCCTTTGTGCCAGTTGTTGTGTGATGTCATCATATGCTATCACATTCTGTCTGCCTCCCATCCCATATTTTTTCAACTTGCATGTGTGGTTTGAACGTGTGCAAGAATTTGTGTGTGATGTGTTCTGGAGTTTGGGAATGTGTTTTGTGTTATTTTGTTTGAGCAGGTTTTTTTGTGATGATAGATCTTGAGAAGATCTTTCCGACGCAACGAGAATCCCTTCAATCGGAGCAAGAACGCGAAAGCTATGAAGATTCAAAGTTCATGAGCTTGCGTTACAATTGCGGCGGTTACAAAGTGAAGTTGTGGGGTGACTCTATATGGAGTTGGGACCTTTGGGGGTTTGGGAAATTTGTCACTCACTGTAACAGCTGCAAATTGGTTGGGAACAACCAAGCTAGGTTGGCAAGGGTGGCCAACTTGGATGGATTGGTTGGGAAGGGACAAATGTCAAAGTTGGGGTTCCTATAGGGAGGGAATCTTTGTGCTTATGGGGTTTCCTTGGTTGGGGACTCTCTTGGGACCTTCCCTCTCATCCCTCTCTTCCTATCCCAACCTTTCTCTTGCTCCTTCTAATTCCTTGTGAGATTCTTGAACTTTGATTGAACCTTTGAGATTGAGTTAAGTTCTCCTCCTACAGCTTACCCCCTAGTGCGTCGAAAGCCATAGCGTCGCGAATACTTTATCAATCAACATGATTCAAATTGGGAACGGTAGCTGAGATTAAGAGCTACAACATATCCAAGTTTCGCGACATTCCAACGGCTAGTTGTTTGTCGACGTCGTTTCTTGTGAAGACGACTTTTCTGTCCAGAATTTCGGATTTATATTTTGAGTAATTCTAGCTCCTAAGTTCACCTAGACTCTGTCCTTAATCCTAACAAGTGGTATCAGAGCAATATTAAGGACATTGAGAGGAGTCTACAGAAGTTTGAAGACCCTTCTAGACCCACCATGGCCTGTGGGTGTGCCTAAGTGGTGTTCTAAAGGTTGGATGTGTCTTCCGCTAAGGGGAAACTCTGCCGAAATTTCGTGGACGCCGACACTTGTGAAAATATCGAGGGAGCTGAGTGTGGACAGCAAAGGGGAGCTGAAATTCGTCATTTCTCAAGGAGAAGATGAATGAGAGAGGAGGAGATGCTAATGGAAGAGGAGCTGTACCTGAGAAGACAAGTGAGCCGCCGCCATCAAAAGTTGAAGCTTTGGATGGCTCCAACTATGAGGAATGGAGCGGACGGATGAGGAGTGCCTTCAAACGCTACAAGCTACTGAAGATTGCTGTTGGGGAAGAGAAGATGCCGGAAGAAGGCGAAGCACGTGAACGGTGGATTGAGAAAAGCACGGTGCTTTTCGACCTCATCCTTCAATCGGTCAACAAGGAGATGTTCGAGCACATCAAGGATCTTGTGGAAGCGGATGATTCGGGTCCAAGGGCGTGGAAACTACTACGCGATGTGATTCAGCCCAACACTCTCCTGATGGTGATCGTGCTCGAGAAGGAACTTGCTGCCATCTCCATGCGACCAGGGGACGATGTGAAGCCGGTCCTTGACAAGATCAAGGACACCTATGCAAGGATGGCAGCAGCGGGCAGCAGTGTATCTCAGCTGCAGCAGTGCACCAAGATCATCTCGGTGTTGGACAACTCTTGGGACAACCTCATCCCCACCCTCAACTCTCAACAAGATCAATGGACACCTGAGTGGCTAAGGCAGCAGATTCTGCAGGAGGACTTCCGCAGACGCCATGTGGGAGGCGGTGCTGCCACTAAGACTGCTGAGGGGTATGGAGCTGCAGGGCGCGGCAGAGGAAGAGGGGGTTGGAGAGGCCGAGGCCGTGGGAGGAGCTTTGGCAGAGGTAGAGGCCGAGGTGACTATAATGAGGGGCATGGGAGCTCTAGTGGCAGGGGGAGTACCAGAATGGAGGGCACCTGCTGGTACTGCAAGAAGATAGGGCATCCTTGGTTCAAGTGCTTCAGCAGGCCGGAGGGATGGGCACCTCCAGGCATGAAGCCACCCAGTGGTGAACGCGCACAAGGTGGCGCTGTGCAAGGCTCAGGTGCACAAGGTGAAGGTGCACAAGGTAATGCCTATCCTGGTTTGTTTCTTATGGTTGAGGATGTGCATGGGCATGAGGGTGATGTGGGATTTGTGGGAAAGGTTGTGATGCACCCTCTCACGCACTGGGTGATTGATTCGGGTTGCACCAGTCACATGACCCCACGGGCAGATTTGCTTGATGAGGTAAAACCCCCTGGGAAGATTAAGTATGTGGCAGCAGCGTCAGGTGCTTTGCTCCCCGTGATTGGTGTTGGGAATGCCAAGGTTAAGGGAGCTAATGGGGAGCTTGTGGGGCTTGGGAATGTTCTGCTGGTTAAAGGCTTGTCTGCTAACCTTCTCTCTGTGCGGCGGCTGCAGAAGAGTAAGGCCGAAGTGACCTTTGGACCAACCAGCTGCCGTGCTAAGCTTGGGAAGAAGGTGCTGTGGAGTCTGGAAGAGGAGACCAGCTGCATCAAGGACCTGTGGCAGCTGCCCATCATCCCTTGGAATGGGAAGACTCCAACAGCAGCAACGGCAGCAGTGGCAAAGGCAACAGCAGGAGGAGATGCAACTGCACCAACTGATGGGGTGCTGGAAGCAGTCAAGAAAGTGCAGAAGCAGCAGACACATGGTGAGGTGCTTGCTGGTGTGGATGCGAGTGCGGCATGGGCTAAGGCTTCATCAAGGAGTGGAGAGGCCGATTGGGAGACATGGCATGAGAGGTTGTGTCATGTGAACTTCCCTATGCTGCAGAAGTTGGTGAAGAATGGGAGCCTGAAGGGCTTGGAGGTGAAAGGGGAAGTGAAGGAGATTGGGAGCTGCCCTACATGCTTGGAGACCAAGTTCTCCAAGTTCCCCTTCAACAGTGCAACTGGACCATCCAAGACCCCACTTGCACTTGTGCACATGGATGTGGTGGGGCCCACAAGAGCCCCTTCCCTCTCAGGCAGCCGCTATTTCTTGACAATTGTGGATGACCACACTTGGGCAGTGTGGGTTTACCCTTTGAAGAGCAAGGGGGAGGTGGCAGCGGCTGTCCTTAAGGAGTGGATGCCGAGAGCTCAGAGGGAATGCGGACACAAGGTGAAGGTGATCCGTAGTGACAATGGTGGGGAGTTCATTGGAGCTGATTTTGAGGGGGAGTTGAAGAGGAAGGGGATCCAGCATCAACTGACAGTGCCCTACAACCCACAGCAGAATGGCGTGGCTGAGAGGTTCAACAGGACCCTGCAGGAGGGGGCACGCACTCTCCTTGGGCGTGCAGGGCTGCCTGATCCGTTTTGGGTGTCTGCACTGAGGCAGGTCGCCCTTGTGAAGAACAGGGTGCTGGCTACAGTTGGAGATAAGGAGTGGATCCCATACGTCAAGTGGTATGGGAGTGCTCCAGCTGTGAACATGCTGAGGGCATTTGGGTGCATGGTGGTGTTTCATGTGCCTAAGGAGAAAAGGGGGAAGTTGGAGGCTTCTGGAAGATGGGGTGTGCACTTGGGGATTGCAAAGGATCACAAGGGGTGGCTGCTATGGGACTTGACCACCCAGAAGTTGACAGTGTCAAGGGATGTGAAGTTTCTTGAGTCCCTGTACTACAAGGAATGGAAGCAGCAGCAACAGAAGCTTCCATCTACACCGCTCATTGTGGAGGCAGATGAGGTGCAGCAGCCTTCAAGACAGGTGGAGGTTGCAGTGTCAGAGGAGGAGATGTCTGGGGTGACTGAGGAAGGGGGAGCAGCTGAAGTAGAGCAGCAGCAGCAGCAGCAGCATGAGTCTCCACCTCGAGTTCCACACCCGCCTGAGCGTCCTAGGAGGGATGTGCGCCCTCCAGTGAGGCTGACCTATGGGGGAAGAGGCAAGCCGAATGTGGTGCAGGCTGGGAGTGTGGTTGAGCAGATTGAGGAAGATGAGATCGCTCACTGCTACTGGGCACCAATCCCTGAGCCCAAGACTCGAGAAGAGGCCTTGAATGGACCAAATGGGGAGAAGTGGAAGGCGAGTGAGGATGAGGAGTTCGGGTCCCTAATTGAGAACGAGACATGGGACCTGTGTGACTTGCCTCCTGGAAAGAAGGCAATCACTTCCAAGATGATCTACAGGCACAAGTATGGACCTGAAGGGGAGCTGACCCGCTACAAGTCTAGGCTTGTGGCACGGGGGTTTCAGCAGACAAAGGGGAAGGACTATGATGAGGTGTTTGCTCCTGTGGGGAAAGGAACAACATTGAGGGTGCTGTTGGCGATAGCTGCACTCCTGGGATGGAAGATTCGGCAGATGGACATTGTGACTGCCTTTCTGAATGGGATCATTCTGGAGGAGGTGTACATGAAGCAGCCAGAGGGGCTGGATGATGGGAGCGGCAGGGTCTGCAGGCTGAAGAAGGCCATCTATGGCCTTAAGCAGGCGCCTCGTGCATGGTATCACAAGTTGGAGGAGGCGCTGCTGGCTGGGGGTTTCAAGAAGAGTGAGTGTGACCCCAGCCTGTTCCTGCTGCAGGAGAAGGACGAAATCCTCATGCTCTTGGTGTATGTGGATGATATCCTTCTCTTTTCTGCATCAACTGCTTTGCTGGACAGCGCAGAGCAGATGCTGGAGATGCAGTTCAAGTGCTCCAAGATGGGTGAGGCGAAGTACTACTTGGGGATGCACGTGGAGAGAGATGTGGAAAAGGGTGTGCTGAGGTTGCACCAGAGGAAGTACTGTGAGGGGCTGGCTGAGAAGTATGGGCTGCAAGATGGGGGAAAGCCAGCAACACCACTACCTTCGGGGTTCACTGTGGAGCCATGTGCTGATGAGGAGGTAGTGGGTGATAGTGACAGGAAGCTGTTTCATTCGATGGTTGGGTCGCTGAATTATCCTGCAAATCATACACGGCCTGACATTGCATTTGCTACATCACGGTTGGCTAGTGTGGTCTCACGCCCTAGTCATGAGCAGCTGGAAGCGGCCAAGAGGTTGGTCCGCTATGTGAGTGCTACGGCATCAGTGGGATTGGAGTACAGTGGAGTGAGGCAGCGGTTGCAGAGAGGTGCTGCAGATGTGAAGAGTGGAGAGATGCTCTTGAGTTGCTATACTGACGCTAGCTTCAACTCAGTGAAAGCGGATGGCACCAGCATTGGGGGTTATGTGTGCTTGCTAGGAGGTGGTGCTGTGAGCTGGCGCAGCAAGAAGCAAAATGAGGTGGGATTGTCTTCATGTGAGACTGAGTACATGGCCTTACACCATGGGGCCAAGGAAGTGGTATGGCTGAGGCGTTTGTTGGAGGAGTTGGGAGTTGGTCAGGAGAAGCCGACAGTTGTGTTTTGTGACAATGAGTCCGCTGTGAAGCTCGCCAAGAATGCTTGTCTGCATGGGCTGACAAAACACATAAGGCCTAAGTGGCATTGGGTGAGGAGACTCCTTGATAAGGAGGTGCGGCTGGAGATAGTGAAGACCCATCAGCAGGCAGCAGATATTTTCACTAAGCGTCTGGCGGAGGCGGATCATTGGAAGGGCATGAAGCTTGCTGGGATGAGTGTGCATTGAGTATGCATGCTTGAGATGTTGGTATGGTGGATGATGGTTGGCAGCCAGAGGGGGAGATTGTTGTGTGATGTCATCATATGCTATCACATTCTGTCTGCCTCCCATCCCATATTTTTTCAACTTGCATGTGTGGTTTGAACGTGTGCAAGAATTTGTGTGTGATGTGTTCTGGAGTTTGGGAATGTGTTTTGTGTTATTTTGTTTGAGCAGGTTTTTTGTGATGATAGATCTTGAGAAGATCTTTCCGACGCAACGAGAATCCCTTCAATCGGAGCAAGAACGCGAAAGCTATGAAGATTCAAAGTTCATGAGCTTGCGTTACAATTGCGGCGGTTACAAAGTGAAGTTGTGGGGTGACTCTATATGGAGTTGGGACCTTTGGGGGTTTGGGAAATTTGTCACTCACTGTAACAGCTGCAAATTGGTTGGGAACAACCAAGCTAGGTTGGCAAGGGTGGCCAACTTGGATGGATTGGTTGGGAAGGGACAAATGTCAAAGTTGGGGTTCCTATAGGGAGGGAATCTTTGTGCTTATGGGGTTTCCTTGGTTGGGGACTCTCTTGGGACCTTCCCTCTCATCCCTCTCTTCCTATCCCAACCTTTCTCTTGCTCCTTCTAATTCCTTGTGAGATTCTTGAACTTTGATTGAACCTTTGAGATTGAGTTAAGTTCTCCTCCTACAGCTTACCCCCTAGTGCGTCGAAAGCCATAGCGTCGCGAATACTTTATCAATCAACATGATTCAAATTGGGAACGGTAGCTGAGATTAAGAGCTACAACATATCCAAGTTTCGCGACATTCCAACGGCTAGTTGTTTGTCGACGTCGTTTCTTGTGAAGACGACTTTTCTGTCCAGAATTTCGGATTTATATTTTGAGTAATTCTAGCTCCTAAGTTCACCTAGACTCTGTCCTTAATCCTAACACCAGTTACTACTCGAAGAATACTACGACGTCCTATACGCCGGACACTTCGGTGGCAACAAGACGCTCACCGGTATCGCCAAACACTACTACTGGCCCCACATGGCAGATGACGTACAGAAATTCGTCAGCTCGTGTGATACATGTCAACGGATGAAGAGCAGCAAGCAGAAAAAGGCGGGACTACTGCAGCCTCTTCCTGTCCCAGAACAGCCATGGCAAGTGGTTAGCCTGGACTTCATCACCGGGTTACTACCTACCACCAGCAGTCATGACGCAATCCTTGTCGTCATCGACAAGTTCTCCAAAATGGGACACTTCTTCCTTACACACACGACGGCACGCACCGAGGAGACAGCACAACTCTTCGTTCGTCACATCATCTCACAGCATGGCATTCCAACCACACTCATTTCCGACCGAGACCCCAAGTTCACCAGCAAGTTCTGGAAGGAACTTATGTCTCTTCTCGGAACCAAACTCGCCATGTCATCCGCATACCATCCGCAGACAGACGGACAGTCCGAGCACCTCAACCAAATTGTTGAGCAACTCCTCCGCGCAGCCTGCAAGGACGACATCTCCAATTGGGACTTGCATCTGTCCGTCCTGGAGTTTGCCTACAACAATGCCACACATGCCGCTACTGGACAGACGCCATTCTTCCTCTGCTACGGACGCCACCCACTCACACCACAGAAACCGACCACATCCGCCACAGTACAACCGGCACATGATTTCATCACAACCATGCATCAGCTTTGGGATCGGACCCACAAGCGCCTCCTCGACATTCAGCAGCAACAAAAGCGCCACGCCGATCGCCATCACAACGACCACACCATCACGGTGGGAGACCAGGTGCTTCTTGACACCCGCAACCTGGACATCAGCCACCTCCCATCTAAACCGCGACCTCGCTTCTGCGGGCCTTTTCTCGTTGAAGCACAGGTCACTCCTGTTACCTTCCGCTTACGCCTGCCAGCTACCTAGAAGATTCACAACGCCTTCCATGTCCAACTTCTGAAGCCCTATCGGGATCCAAACACAATCTTCGTCGGACGCCAACCGCCGCCGCCGCCGCCTGTCCTCGTCCAGAATGAACCCGAGTACAAGGTCGAGTCCGTGCTAGCACACCGCCGACGTTGGAATGGCACCGTGGAGCTTCTCATCCGTTGAAAGGTTATGATCCTTCTGAGGACAGCTGGGTCCCTGAGTCCGACATGGGTAACGCCCGTCGTCCTCTGCATGACTACCTTGTCAAGCAGGGTGTTACTTCTACCACCCAGCTTTGAGGGGGGGAAGTGTGAGAGTACGACCCCGTTACACCACTTGTCCCTTTTCTTATTTCCTTCCTCTCTCATTCCTCTTTTTATCTCATCTCATTTGGTTTCCTATTCTCCATTTTCCATTAACCTTTGGTTTATCCTGCTATTATAGTTATATCACCGACCAGGCTTGGGATGTACTGGTGCGCTATCTGGCGTAATCCTGCCGTAATCCCTTAAAACCAATAGCCTCGCGTGGCTATACGCAGGGTGATTCTATCTTCTAGAAGGGTCTATTCCCTTAGGATAAGATAAACCTGGTTACCTGATTTACTTTGGAAGTATAAAAACGCCTTGTACTGATCGATGGTGCAACCTTTCCTCGACACATTCGATCCTGTGACAAGACCGGTCCTCGCCGCGGCTTCGTCTGCGGTAAGATCGGTCATACCACTCGTCGCTGCTTTCGTCGCCTGGACGACTTGTTTCGTCAGCGCTTCGGCCCGTCGCCAGACCTGCCGGACTGGCACAGTTTGCTTAGTCGTAGTATTCCGATTTTTGACTTGGACATGGATGCCATTGTTTCTGCTCTGCATGTGATGTATGCTGATGACTCTAGTGTGCTTCCTCGCTTTTACATAAGGGGGTGAGCACTAGGAAAATTTGAAGGATTTGAGCGTCTGCAAGAGTTTTGTCTACGATTTCTGTTTGAATGTTATCTATGAGACTAGCCACACTGAGGTATAACCAAAGATGCCATTAGCCGATTGGTTCCATCTTATCATGGGTCGTCTTCGTCGTACCGCTGTAGGGTAAAACCACAAATAGAGCGGCAAAAAATAGTGTATATGCCGTGAAACTGAGGGTAACGTAGCACGGTTGATTATTCATCCTTGCACAATTAGAATCACGCTAGGATCTGCATGTCTCATCACGGTGCAGCAGTCGAAGAAGTTGCGACTATTCGGGAAGAATATCCGGGTTGAGGTCAGGTGAAGAAAAGGGCCACTTCAGTGCTACAAACTGATGTTCTCCAATGCTATTCCAAGCCTATGCGGTACAAATGGCTTGGAGAGCATTGGGGAGCATGAGTATGTTGCACTGGAGTGACCCTTTTCTTCACCAGACCTCAACCCGGATATTCTTCCCGAACAGTCGCAACCTCTTCGACTGCTGCACCGTGATGAGACATGCAGATCCTAGCGTGATTCTAATAGTGCAAGGATGAATAATCAACCGTGCTACGTTACCCTCAGTTTCACGGCATATGCACCATTTTTTGCCGCTCTATTCATGGTTTTACCCTACAGCGGTACGACGAAGACGACCCATGATAAAATGGAACCAATCGGCTAATGGCATCTTTGGTCATACCTCAGTGTGGCTAGTCTCATACATAACATTCAAACAGATATCGTACACAAAAAACTTGAAGACGCTCAAATCCTTCGCGTTTTTCCAAGTGCTCACCCCCTTATGCAAAAGGGTGGGTCCAAGAAGAGTGCAAGAAGATCTCAACAAAGGTTTGCACTAGCCACGTAAATAACATGCCTAGGAGGCTGCGGGTGGTGATTAAGGCCAAGGGTCGGTGTACTAGGTACTAGAAACCCTGTTCGGAAGTTTGCTCTTTGTCTCGGGACAAAACTGTCCGGATGACCCCTTTGTATAACTTTTGGCACAAAGTTAGATCCAGTGTACTACTATGGATTTTAGCGCTTTGAACACATCCACTATGTGCCCCTCCCAAAGCGTACCACAATAAAACATTAAGACTTTATGTACCATGGTCGGAAAGCCAAAAAACCCTAATTAGAGCCAAACATCCGGACAGTTTTTTCCGTCACTGTAATTTAACAGCCCCACCGCACTCCAACGCACTGCACCGTACAGCACTCCTCCCCAATGCTCCTCCTCACTCCATCCCTCCCTTCACCGCCTGTTTGCGGCTACAGCAGCCTTCATGGCGGACTCGGTGCTGCGCGTTGACGCGGAGGGTCAGCCGATTGAGTTCGACTCATGGCTTATCGACCTCCACCGTCACCTCACTAGCTCACGGCAGGACGGCCACTCCCTGGCCGTCCACATTGACGGTACGCTCCCCTGCCCTGACCCCCCTGTTGCTCTCCCCGCTGACCCCACGTCTATTGACCGTGAGTCCGCCGCCGCTGCTGCCCTTGCCCGTGCTGTCTGGCTATCGCATGACGCTGTCGCTCAGCTCGCGATTAGCCATGCCCTCCCCCTGTCTGAGCGCCCCTGCTTTTAGTCGGCCAGGACTGCGCAGGAGTTCCTAGAGGCTGTTGTCGAGCATTATTCCACCCCGTCTTCTGCCTCTGCCGGCCGCCTAATCCTTCCCACGCTCTTCCCTGATCTTGCGTCTTTCCCCACGCTCGACGCTAGCTGGCGCGCTGCCTGCACTGAGGCCCAGCTTCGTGTGTTCCAGCCCCCTAACTGCTCTACCCTTTACCTGCTTACCACCCGCCTACCTGACCGCCTTGCCACTGCTCGTGACCACTTTCTTAGTCTGCACCCCGCTGACCTCACCCTCTCTGACTTTGTCGACACCCTGTCTGCCATAGAGACCTGTCAGCGCTCTATTGCCCAGTCTAGCGGTACTACAACGGTCCATATCTTTTAGGGTTGTGCTCCCGCCCAGTGCACTTACTATGACGGTTCTGCGGCTGTAGCTGAGACAGCCCCTGCTGCTGAGACCGCTGATGCGGTGGCCACAGCGCAGTCCCATTATAGTAAGGCTCGCCTCCCCAAGGCTGGGCACGACGGGGGTAGTGGAGGAGGGGGTGGAGGTAGTGGTGGCGGTGGTTCATCCGCTGGCGGTAGTACCGACGAGGGGGCTGGGGATGGTGCCTCGGAGCAGCAGCCCCAACGGGAGCAGCAACACACACCGCAGCTTGACCACCACCAGCAGCAGCAGCCGCCGCCGCCGCAGCAGCAGCAGTCGCAGCGGAGGGTCGGTCGTCTCCCGCCGGGGTGGCCTGGCGATGGTGGTGGTGGTGGTGGTCGCGGTGGTCGTGCGCTTAGCTCGTCATGGGGTGGTGGTGTGAGTGACGGGCGCTGCCAGTACCAGCTCCAGACCGGTCCTCACCGCAGCCTCGTGTGCGGTAAGAGCGGTCATACCCCCACTCGCTGTTTCAATCGCCTGGAATACCTGTTTCGTCTCCGCTTCGACCCCGCGCCGGACCTCCCCGACTGGCATAGTCTGCTCCGCCGTAGTGTTAGGATCTTTGATATGAACATGGATGAGATTTTCTCTGCATTGTATGTGCTATATATTGATGACTCTAGTGTGATTGTTTCCTATTACCCCGTATTGCCTAGTGTAGGTGTGCCCAGTGTGCCTAGTTTAGGCTCCCCTGCTGCGTCAGGCATAGGACCCTTTGCTTTGTTTAGCCTTGGCTCCACCCTAGCTCCTCCGCCCCCAGCCGCCACTGCCGCGCTCCCCTTCACTCTCGACTCTGGCGCGTCTCGGTGTATCTTTTGGGACCACACTACGCTTACACCGCTTGCCGTCCCTGCCGCAGTTGCCCTTGCAGACCCTTCCTCAGGTCCGGTAGTCGCCCGTAGTTCCACCACTCTCCCATGTCTGGCAGTTCCTTCGGGCTCTGTTACAGGCCTGCACATCCCCTCGTTCTCTCGGAATCTAGTTGGTGTCGGCTGACTTCACGAACTCGGCGTCACCACTACGTTCCCTGGTCTGTACCGAGGCCGCCATTGGT